TTTGCCAGCCCCTGAAAGGATAGCCGCTTTTAGGAAAGGATACAATTGCTAACCCTATGTGATCCTTAACTCACTGAGAGGTCTAGGGACTTAGTCGCCCCTTTTGCTCACATGTACACACAGCCTGACCCCCCAGGATGTTACCAGTGTGGTGATCATGCCATGTTCAGGACTTGCTGAGGTGGCTGATGCTGTCTGAACAGTTTTGCCCTCTGTGCACACAAGCAGAATACTAGGTCCAGGACTACAACTCCTCTGTGCAGAATCAAGGGTGTCTGGGCCTCTCTTTTATGTCTGCAGACTGCCCTGTCAGAGCCCATTATTCCCGATCCATCTCAGATAGTTCAGGCACAGAGGTACAGGATGGGTCTCTGAAGTCTGTTTGGGACACTGTCATTTGGTTGGAAATTATAAAAACACATTTTAGGATATAAACTCTTTCAGCTGGGGTTATAAATTCAAGCACTTACTCATTTCCTTTATGTCTTCATTCATTTATTTTCATCCACTCATTTAACAGGAGCTTATGGAATATGTACTCTGTGCCAAGTGGTGTGCTAGGTTTTGGAAGCACAGAGCTCAGCACAGGAGATACCGGTAGTCTGGCAAAGATGACGTCCATGAAGGGGTGACAAGTCTACTGGTTATGGTTCTGGGGAGCCCCATTTCTAGAGTTCCCACAGGACCCAGTAACACATTCTGGATATAGTGAGATGCATTTTTTCATCCCTCTATTCAACAAACACTAATGGAACCGGCACTGTGCTGAGCACTAGAAATCTAAAGCTAACTCGCTTCAAATTTTCCCTCCCTGGCAGCTGGTGAAGCTGAGTTCTAAGCCCCAAGCCACAGTGGTGATTCTTACAAGATGGTATGATTCCAAATGGGCAGAGCTGGTAGAAGATGATGAGGAAGGGGTCCGTAGAAATGTATGTGTTTTGGGGGATCTGAACGTTGGGTGAGGAGTGTCCTGTCATCATATGTAGAGGGGACAGCTTCCTCCTGGCCAACAGTGAGTGATTCTGTCTTTCTTGGAATTGCCTGAACCTCTGTGCCATGGTTGCCATCTGTTGTTTCTGAACCATTTCCCAATTCAACTGTGGCTGTCTTTTAGGGTTTTCTCCCTAATGCCGGGATTGGGGGAGCCAAGGCAGCAGAAGCAGAAAGGATCAAGGAAGGGCTGGGAAGCTCTGATAATTGACCCCCACCTCCATCCTCCCTCCCTTTTCACTGCTGGGCACCACCAAAGGCTCCGAAGTGGGCCAGCTGCAGGACAAGTTGAGAAATAGTGAACAGGGTGTACATGGCCCAAGTAACTAGCTGGAACTGGTAAATAGGAGGGGGCACAAGAGGGAATAGCATGTAGCCTGAGGGATGATCTAGGAGTCCCTGAAGCTCCAGCTCCTCCCTAGGTCCAGGCACACATCAGGAGGCCTGTGTGCGCCATCTCAGGGTAGATGAAGAACCCATAGCACGAATGAAAGGGATTGAAGAAAGGCGGGTCTGACTATCCCCGGCAGGTTGTTTGACCACTCCAGGCCTCAGTTCATTCATCCCTAAAAAGAGGCTAATTATACCTGCATTACCTGCCACCTAGGTGAACATAACTGAGGAGATAATGAAAACATATTATCAACTCATTCTAAATGGTGCTCTTATGGTTTGGGAGAGAGAATGCCTGTTCTGCAACGTCTAATCAGGGCAGAGCATCCATCCTTCAAGAATCTGGGTGCGGATCTGTAGAAGCACTTTGAATTCTGCCCACGAACCCATGGTGTTACTTAATAATTCAGGATAAAAAGGTGAGCCTTGGGCCTGGGTTTTTAGTTACTGAACCAACAACAAATTTGACTTAATCTGATCACAAAAGTGTTTAAGAGGTTCACTTTTCACAATCAGGATCAACAGGAGAAGGGCACCTCCCATTGGCCTCCCCCTTACCTGGGTCTCCCCAGCGGGGTCTTCATCCCTCCAGCCTGGAAGCAGCTCCCCCGCTGTTGTGTTTTCAGCATATTCAAATGATGAGCAAATCTGAGGCCTCGGCTCTGCTTCATCCTGCTTTTGGAAATTGATTTTTCCTAAATGAGGAAATGTATGTAAAATCACAATCAGTTTTCTTCAACTCTTTACAAGTTTCGGGAGGTGGATAGGGGAGGTATTCAGAAACAATAACAAAAGGTCCAAATACGGTCAAAGCTGCATTCCTCAACATTCTGTCCCCTGCAAGTCTGTCTAATGGACATGGCTGCATAATTATGAATATCTATAGAGGATGTCCACCTTGGAGACCTGAAGGCAAACGGTTCTTGGACCACTCTTCTACAAAATGTTGGTTGGCTTTTCATGTTAGAAAAGGTTCAGTGGGCAAACTGTTTGGGAAACACATTATTTCTCAAATAGTGTTGGTCATCAATAACAAACAGCCTTCACTGTGCTAACAGAGATTGTCATAATCTGCAAAGGGAGGATTTGCATTTGCAGCCTTTCCCAAACATACGTGAGCAGGGAACCCTTAGTTTTGTAAAACACCTGTAGAGGTCATTCTGAATAATGTGGTTTGGGAAACTTTGCTCAGAGGCCCTTAAAGATCTTGCAAGGCAGTGCATCTCAAGCTTTGATTTGCATGTGCATCAGCTGAGCTTTTGTGGAATTGCAGATTCTGATTTAGTTAGTTTGAGGTGGGATCTGAAATTCTGCATTTCTGACAAGTTCCCAGATGATGCCAATGATGTTGGCCTATGGATCACATTTTGAGTAGTGAGGATGTAATCAGGAGAGAATGATGAAATGAAGTTCCCCCAGTACCCATAATACTAGATGAACCTGCAAAGTGCATTCCTTCTCATGCCAGAAAGAATTGTTGTTATTATCCCGCACCCTCAATGATTATCAACAGGACATGCTGTGATAGCTTCTCAACAGCATTTTTGCTTGTGAACAGGAGCAAAGTAATTGTATTTTCATCAGCATTCTGAGATTTTACAGTCACTTCCATTTTTTATATGGAGACAAGAGAAAAACCAATTTAAATGCATATATTAAATAGGAAGTGACTGCTCTAAACCACTTTCCTTTTGTTTCAGCTAATTCTCCATTCCTTAATTTTTAAAATGAGTAACCAATGGCCACACAGAAAAGAGACGCCTTGGAAAGCTAACCCTACCTCTGGACCATGGTGATAGTATCATTTGGTGGCCAGGAAGCTCCAGAATGGGTGACACAAAAGTATCCTGCGGCGTGTTGACTCACTCTCTAACGTATACTACTTTTTTACAACTCTTCATGACAATTTAATTAAGACACAGACCTTAGAAAACCGGTGCAGTGAGTATTAGCAGCAAGATCAGAACAATCTCCTTCCTCTATCCCCTTCTTATGAAGCAATTCAAGGCTTGTGGTTTCTATTCAATTTGTTATAATGACAATGTTTAATCATGGCGTCTACTCGGCAGCCCGCTGCTGAATTGAGGTCACACATGTGACTATTCAGGCATGGAGCACATAATCTATAACTAAGATTTCGCCCCTGAATCTCTGGAGGCTGTCATTAATTAACAATGCATTTATTTCAAAAATAATATGCAATCCAATTTTTTAAAACGTAGCCTTTCCTTGAAATGAACAGAAGTGTGTGATGACACATTCATGGCAGTTAGCTATTATTGCATGAAGGAAGAACTCAGCCATGGGAATAGCCCAATCACATTTATTCAAAGGTGTTTAGGTAAAAGTCTTCTAATTTCTCAAAAGCCTGTAGTATAATCTTTACTGTGGTTCCTTTCTCATCATCAAATCATAAATGAAAGTCTTTAGGGTTCTATTTCATATGCTTATCTATGTCGTAAATGCAACATAAGCCATACAAGTTAAAAATTATGTAGTGCCATCCTGAGCTGCAATAAATATATTTAATCTTGAAGGAACAGTAAAAAAAAACTTTGACCCTTAGCTTGGGCCAATCTTTAACCATGAAATCTTGTTTCAGTGACTGCAACCAAAGATGGTATTTCTCAGTGAGAAGGCTCACTCCATTCTATTGTAGTTAACACACAATCTACTGCTGATATATCTAAGTTTTTATAGTTAAACATATAACTATATTTGAAGAGGATAGGATTATGTAAGAAAACATGTTTCTGGTTAGAGGGCAAATAAGGTTTCAGTTACATTATGTCTTGAGCCTAAATTGGTCTATATTCAGAGTTAAGTTTTACAAGATAAAAGCCCATGCATGTGTTGTGTGTTTTTTTCTTAATCAATTTATATATTCATATACCTGTACTTACATGCTTGTTTCCTTTATATGTATGTGTACTCCTTAGTGTAATGCTAAGAGTAGGCAATGTTTACTGTTTGTCTTTTTCCTTTTTGGTTGAGGACATACAAGGATTTTCATGCATCTACATTTCCATTGGCCAGAGGTCACTCACTGACCTCCTTAGTGGAAGCCTTTTCTGCTGCCTATTTTCCATTTTGTCAGCAAGTGCATTATTTTGGTGGGGAAACAATCTAATTTGGAAGGTAATAGGCATTTTACCTGAGGAGGCTGGTTTGGGGAGGCGACTTTGAAGAGGTCGCACCCCCCTGGCAGTCATGATGGGGTCAGATGTGGAATGGACAATGGCGTCTGCAGAGCCTTGGCTGTCAGCAGAGGAAGGCACTTCTCGTTCAAGGGTCTGGGCTCTCGTGGAAGGAGCTGCACAAATGGCTGGCTGGAGAGACAGGATGGGTTCAGTGTCCTCTGGGGAGTCTGGGTGGCATATGTACCGTCCTGTTGAGCGAGTTCCTGAGTCTGGGAGTGGGAAGGTTCCAATCCCACTGTCCAGTGTCCTCATCTGGCAGTTTGATTCTAGATAAAATAAAATAGTGAGGATTAGACACGGCTCACATAAAAGTATGAAAGGATGGTAAGCATCTGGATCCTATTTGAAGGAGACGGGACATCTAGAAGGAAGAAATGCCATTAATGGTGTAGCAAATTTCCAGTGACTGGCATGAAGTAGACATTTAATTGAACATGAAAATATTCCATTCATGAAATATAAGGTGAGAAGGCCAGCTGTTACTGGCAGCAAGAGTCGCATGTACAATATACCCCAGATGGTTCTGTAGAGTTATAATAGAAAAAGAACAATCATGAGGGGCCAAAAATTATTTTTGATCATCCTTATTTCAATTGGGAATCATATTACTTAAACCAATTAAGTGAAAACTTTTAACTGAATAAAAGTAATGAGCAGACATAACAAATTGAAGTGATGACCTAACAAAGATAATTGTGTATCTTTTGCATGATTTATCATCCATTCTGCTGTTAACTAAGGCTATGGCCTCTTGGTTTGACTGTGAGGACAAGTAATTCTATAAGGGTCATCCCAAAAGTTACCTTACTGGTGGTGGTCACATCACTTATCATGTGGGTTTCATTTGACCCAATTGCCATTTGAAGTCTTACTGAGAATGCGATAGGGCCTTTTTCTGTCTTCCACTCTTTATGTAACAATAAAGCTCATCAGTACCTTTTGGATTTCCTGTCATTCCCAGGGATCCCACTGCTCCCTAAACAAATTAAGTTGATTTTACCATGTGTGTGACATAGTCTGCTAATTGTATCACATCTTCAAAAAATTTGATGTACAGACAAACATACAATATCGGAAAAAATTATTACATATTTATTTTCTGAAACGGTGGTGTCGTTTATCCCAGCCAATGAGACAGCTTCCAAGATCTGGTTGTCACCCCAAAACATCTCCTGTTTATAGGATAATCTTAGGATGGAACGTCCTTAGTAAAGTTTATATTGGCATCTTATAAGTTTAGGACTGGGTAAGAGGTGCAACTCAGCACCATATTAGACACTGGCTGCTTATTACAGCTACTAGGAGGTCACTACTTTCTTTGTATCATGTCTTCATTTTCACAACCCTAAAGATGAGAGCTATTACCACCATTTGCTAATCAGGAATCACTGCTCCAAAAGGTTAAGTAACTTGCCCAAGGCCATATGCTATACGAGGTGTGATAAAAAAAATACAGCGAATGTTTAAATTAAAAAAATATATATATTATAGTAAAAGACACATTGCCATTAATCCCCTCAAAATATCCACCCAACCCCTCCACCCCGCTTCAAACACACTCATCCCATTATTCTTGAGGCTTTCTGAAGCAGTTCTGGAAGAAGTCCTCTTTCCTGAGTGTGTTTAGTTGCACTGTCATGGCTGCCTCGATGTCCTGAATTGATTCAAAATGTTTTCCTTTCATGGTCATTTTGACGTTGGAGAAGAGCCAGAAGTCGCAGTGGCAGATACGGTGAATAAGGTGGATGAGGATACACCATAATGTTTTTATTTGACAGAAATTGCCGTATATCAGGAGTGATGTATGACACGGATTGCTGTCATGATGGGGGATGAAGTAAAGACACTCACGAAAAAGGACTTCCAGAACTGCTTCAGAAAGTGGCAAGAATGATGGGACAAGTATGTTTGAAGCAAGGGGAAGTATTTTGAGTGGGATTAATGATAATGTGTCTTTTATTGTAAAAATTTTTTTTTTAATTTAAATATTCACCATATTTTTCAATCACACCTCATAAATATAGAGCTTAGATTTGAATCCAGGCTTGCATGACTACAATGACCATGCAGTTAACCACCAAGCTATACTGATTCCCCCCCAAAGCACAGGTAAATCTGGAAGTGGGATCCACTTAGTTAATAGCCACTGAGGCAGCCTTGTGAGCAGAAGTCTCACAGAATAGCCACTGCTTCTAGGCAAGCACCCAGTTTCCCCTCTACAATTGGTGCAGGCCCTGAGTTCTAGCTGGTCCCCATGCTCCCCATCCTGAGCCTGGAGTTTACAGTCAGCAAGCCCTGCATCTAGTCTAGGCAGTTGCTTCCCTTGTGCAGATGACTACACATCCCGATCTCCATGGTTCCTGTGAGTCACAATTGCCTACTTAACTCTTCTCTCTGCCCTCTCGGATTGCACCTGTAGACTTCCATGCCAGGGTTTTTCTGGCATCTATCTCACCTCTCTGGGCAATGATAGGCATTGCCTCCAAGGGCATGTTTTTCTGGCTTTGTCTAAGAACTCTCTCCCCACCAAGAATTTTATGGCTCAGAGAGCACTTAATCCAGTCCCCTCAAATGGAGACTCAAAAAGCAAAGTGAGATTATTAGTTGCTTTTTCAGTGATTTTCTGAAGAAAGGCCCTAGACAGCAAAGCCCATGTATGTTGGCATGGCCTATCTATTGCACAAGGCAGGAAACTGGGCGAGGAGGGATCGGGGGGTAGGGATAATGATGAAGGAAGTCTACATCCGGTGCCCTTCTGAGAAAATCATTTTCTGGTGTCTGTCCCTTTAAATTATTTTTCTTTCCCTTCATATTAATGTCATATCAGATTCTATAAAACAGGACTTTTGGTATTCCTGATTTCTCTGATTTTCTGAGAACTGTACACACTGACATTAAACTCAGAAACCACCTGCAATTAAGCAATTTTATTTCTAAAAGTTATAGATGCCAAATGTAGTGAATTTGAAGGCCTCCTTCATAAGTACCTATGAAATGAGGTGTGGTCAGTCAGGGGTGCAGGCACAATATGCCAAGTTTCACCCTGAAGCAAATTTCTCTGGAATGCATAAACCTCTGGAAATGGAGCTTATATTTAAAATGCTGACACTTTTGTTATGTAGTTCCTTTAAGGCATTGTAAGTTTCTCACAGTTTTTAAAAACATTGTAACCTGAAAACGGGTTAGATACTGTACTTCTGAAGCCAGTTTTTTTTTCCTCAGAGAATTATAAGCACTCACAAAATAATTAAATGGCTGTGATGGGAACAAAGTTCAAAGGGACAAGCCAGCCTTGCATCTCGAACGAGTTGACTCAGTCTGGATCTTGACAAGTTTAAGTCCACATTTGTGGCTGTGAGAACAGCTGCCAACAGGACCTTGCTAATGAGTTCATGGGTTGGGTTGCCGAATGGACCAGCAGGTTTTTTTCTTCCAAGGTCACCAATCACATCTCTGACCCCCGGTCAGCCCTCCAACCTACTTCTCCTCATCCTATCTGCCTTCCCTCTATCTCTCAGGGTGAGTTCTCTCACCACCAACAAGCCGCAGATATTTCATGAGATGACTTACAGCAGTGCTTCCCAGGCCTTTTAAAATTGTGGCACGCATAGAAACTATAAGGCTTGCTGAGGAAACACAGGCATCCCCAGGACCACCAGCTACCTGAGAGCTGAGGGCTCAGCATCTCAGCACACCTGGGATCCATTCAGGGCACGTCGGCAGGGGCCCTCTTACTTACAGAGTGAACACGGGATCTTCTTTACTCACACCTTGAATATATTACCATGCATATCTCTGGCAGGCAAGGAGATGGATGCCATTTTAGTCTTTTAGCTGATACGGGAAGTTCTCGGCCCTCCTTTTTTGGGGAAACTGTTAAGAGTGCTGGGGTTAGGAATACTGTCTGGCATCTGAGCTTCAGGACAGAGAGAAGATATTGTGCCTAAGAGAGAGATGAGCAGCCTGGGTGTGAGCAGCTAAGAAAGGTGAGGCTCTGCGTGGGTGGGGGGCAGAGAAGCAATTTTGGAGGAACATTTGCACCTGGGATTTTGCAACTGTGAATTTAGGGTGCATAATGTAAAAGCCCTACTCAACTCACCAATGAGCATTCCCCTGCTGCTCTTTGTACCAGGTGCCTCGGCAGGTGGTGGTAGTTTCCTCATCTGAAAATTAGATCATGTAACCTTCATCATGGGGGTGCTTTGAGAACTAGAACAAAGCACGTAACCAATACAGCATAATGCCTCGAACAGGTACATAGCTATTATTCAGAAATTGGTTTCAATTCTCAAAAACAGTGTTATTAGACTGTAAGCATCCTAGGGGCAGACAACATTTTACTCACCTCCTTTATATCCCCATATCAGCCCACTCCTAATTCCGTGTTGCCCTTCTTCTGTAGTAGGTAATTACATGCTGAGAGAGCTGATAATAATTACAGGTTGATAGAATGTCTGATTTCTTCTCTATCGCCAGTGCTCAGCACAGTACCTGACACACAGTCCATGCTTGCTGAGGTAATTAAAGAATAGGTGGATGAAAAACAACTAATCTTTAGAAAGTTCTTCCCAAAATTAAATTGAATATGAGCCTTCCCTTTGGAAATACCAATCTGCTGCTTTTTGTTCTGAGTCCAGCAACCAAAGAAAACAGCTGACTTCCTTTTGTTCTGTGTAGCTATTTTTCACATTCTGCCAGACTTTATTAATGCAGATAGCCAGAGGGATAAGATCATTCAGAAATAATGGATATTTTAAAGACCAATTTCTTAATACCTCCAAACCCTTAGAACAAGGGTCAATGACCACAAAGAAAGATAGACAGCCCATGGAATGCTGCTTTAGTGTCCTCCTCAGTCCCCACCCTTACCTCAAAGCATCATTGGGTTGGATTGTTCTGAGCCTGGCAAAAACCCATGTGGCATCATTATTACCCTGGCCGTTATCCTCAGAGATTCTAGATGCAATGCTGAGTGCTGGCATACCATTTAGCATCAGCACCCATAGTAGTACAAGAACTAAGTTCTCACAAAGTCAACTTCCGGGAAGCCATCTGTAGTGAGTACATGAGATTTCTCACTCAGTAACTTTCTAGATGTATTTACATAAAATAGTGAGTTTCGTTTAAAACCATTTGTTCTCTTAACTGAGCTGTCTCTGCTTCTTCTAAACTTGTTTTATATTATTCAATTACACAGAAACATTACCTTTAAAAACTGCTGGAGAGAGAACATTTATTTCCAACATTGTTTCAGTTAACGTAAATT